CAGAGTATTTATTGAGCACCGATTTGGTGCTTGGGTCTGTGAAGGATGGAAAAGCTTTCAACAGGGTCTTTGCCAAAAGAAGTGTAATTGATTGGGAAGGATGCTCACAAGAAGAATTAAAGAATTATATAAAAGTTTAAAGTGCCTAAGACATTGGTAGACAGTGATTTCATTAGGAGTTTAAAGGAAGTGGACATTCCTGTGGGCCTTGGAAGTTAAAGAACACTGATCGCTAAGAATGGATAAGGGATCAGTGGTCAGGAGATGAGGATTAACTTCTGAGCAAGGCCAGATCACAAAAGGTAGGCAGCAGACATGGGGCTGTTGCTCCATGAACTAATTAGCTTGGCTGGTGTAGACAGTCTATGAGGCACAGTTCTGATTGTGAGTTAATAATGAGCTAGAGAGCTAGAGAGTGGGTGACAACTTTGCCAAGGTCTTGAATGCCATATGGAGGGATTTGGCTTCCTTCTGTAGGCAGGTGTGAATCACTGGAGAAAGCCAGTAGTTATCCAGCTAGTGACTATGGTTTTGGAACACATCTGATTATAAGTGTGTGGGCAGTGCCATTCCGGATCTTCACTAGGAATAAGGGATGGAATGCTTCATTGTAGAGAACAATTCTGGAAAAAATTCTTATGAAATTCTTCAGGCCTGGGACTAAGGATACTAGTGTTGGACAAAAGAGAACAAGTAAAGTGGTTTACCCACTATGGAGGGACCGCCTAAGGCAAAGGGAATGCTCCCTAGATGACGTTGTTTCTTTGCCAAGGAACAGGATATGCAGGCTCAGTTGTGTGAGGAATATTTTTGTAGTTGCAACCTAACTTCTGTGGTCAGTTTCTCCAATGGCTCTTTCCCCTGAATTGCAGTCATTTTGAGATTGCTCATAGATCCTTAGCCCAAGTGAGAAAAAAGACACAGAATAAAAAGGGAACCTTTCTTGGAATTCCATCTTGCAAATGGCTGCCAAGCCAATATGTTTTAAAAATACTCCTTTTATTATGTCACTTTTTGTTTATAAACTAAAAATAGCTCATTAATTCCAATTTATGCTTTGTAGGTCTCTTTTAAGGTCAGAACCCACTTTGTCTGTCTGTGTATCTATGTATCTATCTATCTTCATCATCATCTATCTTCCTCCACCTCACTATCTCCTTAGGTTCTCATCATTATAGATTTCTAATCTTTATTTTAGTTAGTCTAGATCCAAACTAACCATAACATAGACTCAATTATTCCCCTAGCTTGGAAAGTGCCAAATCTTTGGCTTTGATCCAAATCCTACCCATTCTTCAAAATCTATCTTAAGCCCCTCCAGTTTCGTGGATTTTCCTATCTCAACTTGAACCCTCAATGATCTCTGTATTCTCTGGACCATTAAAAGATTTGAAAAACATGGAGGATAGAGTTTTAGAAGACCAACATATTCTAATGTTGAAGATTCTAGAACAAATTGAGTTATAGTCTTTATAATTGTATGGTCTACTTCAATTTTTAAAAGATGAAGAATGTTAACCTGCAGAGGTCCAGCCTCTTTTTAATGTATTTCTAGTGGCAGGCAGGTGCCAGCCCATTCCCTTTTATTTCAGCAGCATTTATTTTCTCTTCCTGTTTGACTATAGAGGCGGGAGAGAGAACAGGCTATGTGCCTTTATGTTTAGTGATGTATCACAAATGTATTGAGCAGCAATTATTTTTCAGGTATGGTACTGAACATTAGAAATGCTAAGATTTAGAAAATGTCTTTTATTTCAGCGTGCTTATAATGTATTGTGAAAGTGAGCTTGATCCATAATAGTTGATCAAGAGATGTTTGTGGATGAAAGAAGCAGAGGCAAGAAAACCAACTATTACCCCTGATTTTTAAGAATATGATCTCTTCGATTAGATTGCCTGACTTTGAGTCTTGGTTCTGACACTAGGCATTTACTGAACATTATGACATAGGTTATTAGGTTTGAATGAGAAAATGCATATAAAATGCTTAGCATAGTGTCTGACATGGAGGTTCTCCATACATGTGATGATAATGACAAAAATAAGTCTGATTTATTGGATAGAGGCATAGGCAGAATGCTATGGGAACATGAAAGAGGGTCATTTTACTCAGACTTATGCACAGGGAGGGTAGAAGGGACCAGCCAGTGAAGACACATGTGAAGGATGTCTCAGAGCAGATGGAACGGTGTGTTCTCATAGAAAATGTGAATAGTGATTGAGCAAAACCAGAGTTGACCTTTAAAAAACTGGAAGATGGTCTAAGTGTTCTTAAGCTTTGTTAGAAATGTCATCAGGAGGCCTGGCGCGGTGGCTCCAGCCTGTAATCCCAGCACTTTGGGAGGCCGAGGCGGGTGGATCACGAGGACAAGAGATCGAGAACATCCTGATCAACATGGTGAAACCCCGTCTCTACCAAAAATACAAAAAATTAGCTGGGCATGGTGGCACGTGCCTGTAATCCCACCTACTCAGGAGGCTGAGGCAGGAGAATTGCCTGAACCCAGGAGGCAGAGGTTGCGGTGAGCCGAGATCGCGCTGTTGTACTCCAGCCTGGTAACAAGAGCGAAACTCTGTCTCAAAAAAAAAAAAAAAAAGAGAAATGTCATCAGGAAAGGAAGGCAAGTACTACCTTCCGAGACAATAATCGATAGAAATAGTTTACCATGTACTAGCTCTGTGTTCAGTGTTTTGTGAAGAATGTCTGAAAATATCCATAAATACGAAGGATACAGAACCAAGGAAAAAAACACCGGATAACATATCAATTGCTCACTAGCCCCTGTACTTCTAAGAGATCATTAAATGTGGAGTTTGGTTGCTTTTGTCTATAGTGAGATCCTAGCCTTATTGGTAAAAAATATACTCACAAGACTAATGATAGATGGCCAGATGGAGGGTGTTCTGTTTTTTATAATCAAATGTAGAGTTTTGCTGTTGCTTTTCCTTTCAGTCGCTGGGGTAGAAGTTGTTATTTGTACTTATTTCTGGGTAGTGTTTAATGCTCTTTTTTCCGTATATCTCATTTGCTGAGTTTCAAGCAAAGTGCTCTTTTAAAAGACTGAAGAGTGTTTTAGGTTTATCGCATGGCTTTTGTTAGCCCCAGGTATATAATTATTATTTAGTCAAGGCATAGAGTGCTAGCTAGTCACATTAATGTATATCGCATAAGACTGATACTCAAACTCTTTAAAAGTATCTTAAAATAGTGTCTGTAGTGTGATCTCAATTTTGTAATATATGTATGTATACTTTACACATGCAGAAAAAACTTAGAGGAGTATACAATGGTGTTAGAAGTCAATCACTCCAAGGACTTAATTCGGTAAATACATGGGCTTTGATTTTCATAATTTATATGCATTTGAATTATATTAGTAGGGTAGGCTATCTGCTGTAACAAGTAGATTCAAATAGAGCTGATGATGCAAAGAACATAGAGGTTTAGTTTTTCTTGGTGTAACCAACCCAAAGCAGTTCCTAGACACTGAGGAAGGGTACAAAGAAGCTAGACCTCACACATAGCCATTCAGAGATTAATCTTCAACATGCAACTTACAAGGTTACCCTGGGTACTGATATCAGCATTGACACCAAAGTGGCAGAAGAAAAATGAGCATAGAGGATTATTCACTGGAGGTATGTGGTGTGGTGTTTGTGGTACATGGTGATAGTGTGACTGTGTGTGAGTGTGTGTGCACATGTATGTGTGTCTAAAGGGCAGGCCTGAAAATGGCACTGCTGTTCATATTCAATTTGCTAGAACTCAGTCACATGACAACCTCTAATTGCAAGAGAGACAGGGAAACAGAATGTAGCTGTATTCCCAAAAAGAAGAGGAGAACAAAGATTTGGTTAGCCCCAAATGTATAATTATTTTGTTGTTTCTAAGAGTCAGGAAGTTTCTACCAGAGTCAGGTTTTGTAGTCACCAAATATCCAGTGCTCCCTTCTATCTACATAGAAAACACACTTGCTTTCTTTATTAAGGAAGATAACACAAAGTTTCATCTAAACTCCATAGAAAATTCAAAGGCAAGGGTCCCTGAGTGATGCAGTCTTCTCCAGATATGATTCCTAGTAGTTTGGTGACCTGCATATTCAAAAGATGCAATCTCTCTCCCCTTTTGTCCCTCCACTGTCAACACACACACGTGCACACACGATGGTGAACTACAGTAAAAACTCCCATTGAGGAATGAGAAGAGTCACTGGTTCATGGCAATAATGGAACCCTACTGGGCAAGCTTTGTGAAGTCCCCTTTTCCTGGTGGTAGGGAACGTTCCTGAAATAAATCCTGATTCTGCCATCTTAGAGGAGCTCCCTCATCTATTGAATGACCCTGGTTCCCTGCTCTAGGTGTATCTTCCTTCTCCGTTATCCTCCATGACCTTGTGTGAATTGAGAACCAGGAATGTACCATCTTCAGGGGCCGTACAGTACTCTCATATTGCCTTCTGCTATGCCAGTAACAGGGCCTGCCTAAGAATTCTTTAAGGATTTGAGTAGTTAAAGCTTTTCTAGTTTAGGCACAGGATTATTTGGCAATATCAGTTCCTCAAATATTTAGTTGCCTTGTAATCTATTTACATTCATTGAGTTCCATGTGCGTGTAACTAGACCTAAGTTCTTTCCTAAGACATAATGCTTGAACCTTATCTCTTTCCTCATTTCTCAACCCAGTGCCTCTCTCCCTCAGCTTAATGGTGGCTCTCTGTCAGCCATTTGAAATTACAAGCTTAGTAGAACAACTTATAGTCCTTTGGATATATACCCAGTAATGGGATTGCTGGGGAACATCATTCTCAGCAAACTGACACAAGAACAGAAAATGAAATACCGCATATTCTCACTCATAGGCGGGTGATGAACAATGAGAACACATGGACACAGGGAAGGGAGTACCAAACACTGGGGTCTATTGGGGGGAAGAGGGGAGGGCCAGCGGAGGTGGGGCTGGGGAGGGATAGCCTGGGGAGAAATGCCAAATGTGGATGAAGGGTAGGAAGGCAACAAAACACACTGCCATGTGTGTACCTATGCAAATGTCTTGCATGTTCTGCACATGTACCCCAAAACCTAAAATGCAATTAAAAAAAAAGAAATTACAAGCTTAGGTGGAAAGGAGATATATTTAATATGATACTTGCCATACTGTTAAATACCTCTGTTTAACTAACAGAAATTGATGGAGGCTTCAAGGCGTATTTTCAGTCTCATTTCCTATGATTTGTTGTTCAGTAGTGGTTAAATTTTTCAGTTCTGCAAAGGCTGATTTTCTGGACACTCTCCATTTTCTTTCCTTTCTGCTTGCAAATTAACGAATTATTTCTCAAGCTCATTTATTTCTTGTAAATCCTTCCTAAATGCAACAAGTAATGGTCAACACATTCTCCTAATATCCCTTTTCTGGTCACTTCCTCCATTGCTACAAGCCTGGGAGGCACCTGGCCTGCCTTCCAAGACAGCTTTTACTAAATTATTTCTCACCATATATGATGGATCCCCAACTGTTGAGCCACCATTAAGTTTCCCCATGCCATGCTACTTGACCACCAAACCATTGCCCCATATGTTAGAATTTTGCTATGGCAGTATGCCACTTGAAGATATATATTTCTGTATAACTAAAGAGAGTGAATTTCTATGACAAAAAAAGGCAACAAAACCCTAAGTCTATCAACAAATATTGGATAAAGAAAATGGGGGCATATATGTATATATATATGTGTATAATGGAATACTATTCAGCCATAAAAAGGAACTGTTATAACAGTAAGAAATTATTTTAGGCAAATAGAGAGGAAAAGGGGCCCTTGGGAAGGTTATGTTTCTTTTAAAGCAGCTCCAGAAATGTTTCTTGTCTAGCAGGAAAGCCCCAGCTCTTAGAGCTGGGAAGACAAGCTTTGATATGCAAATGAAAGCCATTAGAAACTGGGTCCACAGAAACATGGTGATTCCCGCTGTCTTGTTCTTGCCCTTGCCCCCACATGTGCCTGGCAACATGGGCACCCCCACATATTCCCGTGTATGTAGAACATCATGGCACCCTGCATTTGCAAAAGGCCGGGGTGGGAGGGGCCATTTTCTCAGGACCTACGTGAATGACACACCTGGTCAAACCAATCCTCTGGGTCTTATGGAAACCAGACACCAACTCCTCCAGAATCCTGATGTAAGCAGCTGCTTTTCCACCACACACAGGTTTTCTCTTTGTTTGAATATCTGCTCCCTCTGTCTCTGTGTGGGGGAGCTGTTTTCTTCCTTCTTTCTTTCTTGTCTCTTAAACTTTTTGCTCCTAAAAACCACTTCACATGTGTCCGTGTTAATGCTACTGGTATGAGACCGAGAACCCCGGTGTTCCTGCAGTCATCAGAGCCATATCAGAATGGAGTCATGTCTTTTGAAGCAACGTGGATGGAACTGAAGGTCCTTATCTTAAGTGAAACAAGCCAGACACAGAGTTAAATATTGCATTTTCTCATAATTGGGTACTAAAAAATGTATACACATAGACATAGAGAGTGGGGTGATACACAATGGAGTCTCAGAAGGGTGAGAGGGGGATGGATGATGAGAAATTACCTAATGAGTACAATGTACATGATTTGGGTGATAAATTCCCTAAAATCCTTGACCTGACCACTATCCAATCTGTGCATATAACAAAATAGCATTTGTGCTCCATAAATGTTTATAAATAAAAAACTCTTAAGTTATTTGTTGTGTTATATACAAACACAATAGAATCTTTTTTCTTCCTTGGGTAAATAATCTAGGCTTGCTCCAGTTTAGCACGGAATGGGCTATGCTTGTCATGGTCATTCAGGAATCCAGGCTGATGGAATCTCTGCAGTCTTCAACATAGAGACTTCAAAATGATCCTTGATCCTTGATCCTTGGCGTTGTCGTCCAACAACAAAGGAGGTCAGTGACACTAAAAAGAATTGCATGAGAGGTTTTAGTAGAACAGGCTGACACATGGCTTCCACCACGTTTGCTCACATCCGATTTGTTAAAACTTACTCCCATGGCCTCAACCAACCTCAAAAGAGGCTGGAGAATTTTAGGCCCTATGCCCAGGTAGAGGAGAAAATAAATAAATAAATATATATATTTTGAGACAGAGTATTGGTCTGTTGCTGAAGCTGGAGTGCATTGGCATAATCTCAGCTCACTGCAACCTCTGCATCCTAGCTTCAAGTGGTTCTCATGCCTCGGCCTCCAGAGCAGCTGGAAATACAGGTGTGTGTCACAACGCCTGGCTAATTTTTTTGTATTTTTACTGGAGACTGGGTTTTGCCATATTTCCCCAGGCTGTTCTTGAACTCTCAGGCTCAAGTGATCCACCCACCTCAGCCTCACAAAGTACTGGGATTACAAGTGTAATCCATTGTGCCTGGCCACAAGAATGTACATTGCGCCCGGCCACAAAAATGTAGATTTTAATTAGCAGGTGACAGATATTGTTTGAATTTTAAAAAATCCAGTACTTTTGTAATAAAAATAAATAATTGTATTTGTTTTTCTTACCTTCTGTTTAAGCGACTTTGCTACTTGGAATTTATTCTAGAAAAGCAGTAGAACGAGTGAACATTGATATGTGTGCCAGAATGTACTGCAGCATTCTTTGTAAGACAGGGAAAACTGGAAATAGCCTAAGTGGTAAATCCTCAGGATATGGCTACCATGCACCCATTAGGACAATGATGTAAAGAACCGTATTCATTGATATTCAAAGATGTTTCTATTATATCAAGTGAACAAAGGAGATCATAGAACAATATGTCTGGTGTGACTTTTATCTTACATATTTGTGTTATGCATTAAAGTTTGAGAAAATATCAATAATGGTGATTCCTAGATGGTTCTATTATGGGTAATTTTAATTTCTTTCTATTTTTCTTTACAGTATTATTTATGTTTTGTGTAGTAAAGGTATATACTTTGGTAATTTTAAAAAGTCAATATTGTTGATACCACAAGTATTGACAGCCCACTTGCACGGTTCTGCATCCTATGTCCCAGCGTGGAGACCTTTTCCCTGTGTAGTCATAGCTGTTAGGTAGGAAAATAGCTGTTTAATTGGAATTTCCTGAGTTGCTCTATGTTTTGTTTATTCAAGTGTTCTCCAACATTTTCCTCTTCACCCAACGGTAATATTGCTCTTTATAAAACACGTTCACAAAACTTCATTCAATTCCTACAATAACTCAAAGAAGTAAGCAGTTATTCCTATTCAGAAAAACCAAGTGACTTTGCTATCGTCATATCTAGTGAGAGCTGGAACCAGGCCTTGATTGAGCCCAGTTTTTCTCTGTGTGGATTTGGCTTGCTCCAGCCTGGTTGTTCTCAACCCTGGCAACATCTTCATATCACTTGGGAAATTTACCAATTCCTTGATCTTTCCCCTGAATAAGTAAAGAAAGAATTTCTCCATCTCTGTCTCTCTCTCTCTCCATATGTGTGTGTGTGCGTGCGCATGTGCGTGTGTGTGTGTGTGTGTTTGTGTATACTCTTTAAGTGATTCTAATATGTAGTGAGCTTAAGAACATGTGTCCTATGCTAGGCTGGCAAAGGGACTGAACTCACAGAGGCTGGTGTCATGGGAGTCAGGTCATGTTCTTCTGCATCATTGCCAATTGTTGGTGGTGGAGAAACACTGAGAGGTGAGGTAGCCTGGCAAGGAAAAGGAGAGAACATCAAGTCTTGTGACCTGCAGCTAAGTAAAACAGTAAAGAAAAAGGAAAAGCCAGGGCGATCACGTAGGCATGAGAGGAGGCACTAGCAGCTTAAGATTTCTTTCTGGGCCAGGCACGGTGGCTCATGCCTGTAATTTTAGCACTTTGGGAGGCTAAGGTGGGTGGATCATGAGGTCAAGAGATCAAGACCATCCTGGTCAACATGGTGAAACCCTGTCTCTACTAAAAACTACAAAAATTAGCTGGGTGTGGTGGTGCGTGCCTGTAGTCCCAGCTACTCGGGAGGCTGAGGCAAGAGAATTGCTTGAACCCAGGAGGCGGAGATTGCAGTGAGCCGAGATCGTGCCACTGCACTCCAGCCTGGCACCTGGTGACAGAGCAAGACTCTGTCTCAAAAAATAAATAAATAGATTTCTTTCTGAAGATTCTGGACCAGCCCAAGGCAAATCTGTAGACAAGAGATTCCTTTCTCTTTCCAGTCTCCTCCTTTCCTCCGCTGGTGCTTACACTTCCTTCCTCCACCACTCCCCACACTTGCAACATCAGGTCATTGACATCAGGTCAGTCCCTTAGAACTTCTGTCTTCCCTAGTCATCTTCTTTTTCACTTCTATGTGAACTTGCTCTCAGGTAATTTACAAGGTGAAGAAGATTCCAAATCCAATTTATTCCAAAATACTATTGACTGATGATAGCTTGTTATTATCCTTTTTCTCAAGAGTATTTCTAGATTAATAAGGCTTAATCCAGAGAAATAGGTCTTTAAAATCGGACATGACAAAAGAGATAAACTTTTAAGGGAGACTGTGGAAAAGGAGAACGTTATGGTGCTCATTGTTTTATATGTAGGATGTTACCTTACGTCCTTCAGCTCTCAGTGGGTGGGGGAACTGCTCATTCATTTATTCATCAAATGTATAGTGAACTTTGCCTATAGATAGACAGAGGGGCATGGGGGACAAAGCAATGAGCAAAGTAGACAAAAGTCCCTGCCCCTGTGGAGCTTACATTTTAGTGGAGAAGACAGACAGTAAACAGAACAAGCAAAATACATGGTATGTGATGTAGTGATAAAAGTGATGGAGAAAAATAAAGCAAGGGAGGGGATAGAATCAGAGGAGGCTGGCCTCACTGAGTAGAGACAAGGAAGCAAAGGAGGGTACCATGTCAATATCTGGCAGGACAGCATTCAAGAAAGCGGAAACAGTAAGTGTAAAGGCCCTGAGGTAGCAGTATTCCAGGTGTGTTTCATAAAGAGCAGGTGCCATCATGGCTGGACCAGAGTAAGTGAAGGGGAATGGAATAGGAGGCTACATCACAGATGATAGCAGGGATAAAATCATTAAGGCCCTGTAGGACATTGTATAAGTTTTGACTTTTACTCTGGCTGGAATTAACAGACATTGGAGGATATCGAGAAGTTTAATATTGAATGACAGGGTTGAGGTAGGATTTGGAGGGACTTATCAGGAGGTAATCACAGGGATCCTGCAATAGATGGTGACTTGGGCAAGGGTGATATCGAGGACATAGTGAAAAGTGGTTGGTTTCTGGATGTATTTTGAAGGTAATACGTCCTTCAAATGTAGGACCAGCACTTCTAATTGAGTAGGTATATAGTTTGAGGGAAAGTGAGGCATGAAGAATGATTGACTAACAGCTTCTGGAAGGATGGAACTGACGTAAGCAGAGATGGGAAGACAGTGGTCAGTGTGAGTTTCCGAGAGAGGATGAAGGACTCATTTAACACTGTATTGAGTTTGGACCTGTAAAATTTGAAAGTCTGTTAGATATTGAGGGGTAAATGATGAGGAAGCATTAGGATATGTGAGCTTGGATTTCAGGGTGATGCCTGGGATGGAGATCCAAATTTGGGAAGGATGCCTATGTCAAGAAATCCAGATGGATGCCAAATAACAGAGTAGGTAAGCGCGGACTCTGAAGCCACATTGCCTGCGCTGCACTCCTGGCAAATAATTTAATCTTTGTGCACTCCATTTCCTCATCTGTAAAATGGAGAAAATAATTATAGTATCTAATTTAGGAGTTGCTGTGGTAAGTTAGCAAATATTTTAAACTATTTGGGTAAAAGCCTGGCAACTAGGAAGTGCTGAAATGTTGGCTGGTGTCATTGTTGATACTATTTTATTACTAGTTGTCTTTTTGATAGTTTTCAATGCTTTTCATATATTATCTCATTTGATCCTCATTAAAAATACATAAGGTAGACATTACTTTTCTTAACACAAATGAGGAAACCAAGGTATGGAGAAGATAAATCACTTGCCCAAGAAGATCCAGTTAGGAAGCGGAGCAAGGAGTATTTGAGCCTACATCTATTTGCCCCCAAAGTTAATCATTTTTATAAATAGTAAAATTAGGTCTTGTGTGCAGGTCAAGACATCAGAAAATTAGAGTTGTAGTTCACATAAATAGCCAAGCTAGAAACTCAGTGAGTTTAAGCTCAATATAATCCTGTGAACAAAGCAACAGGATAATTTGAAATGTCAATGTGACATTCTGTTCCACAGTAAATTAATAAGATGTGACTGAAGGCCTTTCTTGTCATGGCTGTAACAATCACAAGCCATACTTTCTCTCCTCTTTAATCTCATGCTATGACAATAGGGAATAAGTAGAAACATCCTTCAAATATCGGCTGAGTCCCTTTCATACACAAAGGTGACATATTGGCAGCATCCAATTTTGTTCATTTCTGTTGGGAGAGATGTAGCTTTAAACACTATTATGTGATGAGATAAGCAATATAAAAACAGAGGCAGTTTTCTATAATTAATTTGGTGTTGATAGAAAACACTTTGATCCTCTTCTCATTCTTTTCATTGCTGAAGTGATGGTCAGTCAGGTGATCTGAATGACTCTGAGGCATGAGCTAAAAGCTGGGAGTTTCCAGCAAATATTTAAGCCATCTAATAAAGTCCATTAGGTCACCTTGGAGATTACACCTCATGTTTTAGAATCCTTTAATTTTGGACATTTCTTTAGCTACAGAGTCTTGATTTCCAGTCTTGAACATGGCTTTGGGCACTTTCCACATGATCTCAGTGCTACCTCCTGGGTCCCATCTAGACCAGTCCCAAATCCCTGTTCTGTGGATTCTGTTCAGAGCCAGCCTCATACTAGCAACTTTCTGGTACTCATCTAGCAACTGGCACTTTAAAAATCAAAATTCTATTTCTCTAAGGTGGTTAAGGAGGGAGAACATCCCATGGGTGACGTTTGTTGGACCTTGTTGCCATAATTCTTCTATTAAGAGAAATGAGAGGCCTCTCAGCTAAAACGACAAGGAGACTAAAACTGCCATTTCCATCTGGCAAGTGTCTTTATGATTCTGACAGTAGGGACCTTTCATACTCAGGATGAAGTTTCAGTCGTTTCTTTTTCTGAAAGGTGAGGTTGAGAGAGGCACCTTTAGCCCAGGCATGTTTGCAGACATGCCCTCAGAGCACATGAACACATGAAAACCGGAACTCATTGAAATGTGGTATGGAAAATATTCACTGTTCAAACTGGAAACCTGGATCTCATGTATCTATAATTCTCTATTTGCCTTATTATCCACTTCCAAACCATCAGTGGCTATTACCATTTCTACCTCTGAAAATATGTCTATTATTCTCCCACTTTCTCCATCTCTTCTGCCTGCCACCCTAGTCTGTGTCTCCATTATCTCTTATCCGCTGTCCTGTAGTAACCTTTTAGGTGGCGTTTCTACTTCCACTTGTGTGCTCCCACAGATTACACAAGGCAGTTAAAGTAAACTTGCAAATCATAAACTGGATCATCTGACCACCCTGCTCTAAAACCACTGGCTTCCCAAAAGATCCTACGTGATCTGGTGCCAGGCTATCTCACTGATGTCATCTAGTCCCACTCTCCCCTGGGTCACCAGGCTGAACCACAGGACTTTGTTCATGGAATAGGAGAAGCTTGTTTTAACCCCAAGGCCTTTGTATCTTCTATTTTTTTCTGCCAAAATGTTCTTTGCTAGGGTCTTTCTAACGTGGAAGACCTTTCTTAATGGAAACAGTTCTTAGTTAAGAGGTTACTGCCTGTTTGTTCTATCTAAACTAAACTATCCCTCCATTATGTCTGTTTATACAACAAGTATTTATTGGATGCCTTCTGTGTTTCAGACACTGTGAATAACTCAACAGACAAGACAAACAGAAATTCCTGCCTTTATGTGCTTTACATTCTAGTGTCCCATCAGGATGTTTAAATTTCTTCGTAGCACTGACCTCTATTTGAGTTATTGGTTTTCTTGTTTTAGTCTTTCTGTCTATACCCCACCCTTGGATAGACTGGGAAGAATAAATCAGTTTTGGTTTTGCTGCACACCCATGGTAATCTGTCTCAGAAGGCAGACATGAGAAGAATCTGTAGACATAATGAATCAGTGGGAAGAGTTTGTTTTTCTTTTTTGTTACTTCCTCCTTTGCTTAGAAGAACATTTTTGAGCATGAACAAGCTTACACATAGTCTAAGAATGGTACTTGGCAAAGACAGTTCACAGATGGCATCATTAATACAATTTAGAAACAATAATGTCCCTATCCCATTATCTATTGACGGTGTTGAGTTTTGCTTCATGGGATAGAATTTTCACATACTGTCTTTGTCTATATTGTGGTTTGTGTATAACAGTTACCTGGTAATTCAGATTTTTAAGCCCTACCTCTAAAGAGTCTGATTATTCGATCTAAGGTAGAACACAAGAGCCTGCATTTTTAAGAGGCACCCCAGGTGACTCTGTAGTAGGTTTGCGGGCTGCAATCTGTAAAATACTTTGTACAGCATAGCCTGATATTGTAAGCATGGACCTTAGCCTTCTATGGTCCTGCGTGCCAGATAATGTGCACTTGTAGAATCTCCTGAATTTAGGTGACTGTATGTCCAGGTTTGCCTGGGATGGGCCTGGTATGTGTCTCTTTTCCCAGCATAATTATTAATAATGACCACTCTTACTATCAAAAGTGTCACATTTGGAATGGTAAATTTAATGGTAACTCTCTATGTAGGGAACTCTTACTCAAGAGGCTATTGTAAGAAGTTTCCTAGTTGGGAATAAAAAGGTAGTCTTATCTGAAAGGGATAAAGTGATAATCTGTCCACCTGGTCTAGATCATCTATCATGGAAATTTTGAACTATATCCAGAATATAAAAGAGCAGTTTCTGGCTGGGCATGGTGGCTCACACCTGTAACACCAGCACTTTGGGAGGCCGAGGCAGGTGAAGCATGAGGTCAGGGGTTTGAGACCAGCCTGGCCAACATGGTGAAATCCCGTCTCTACTAAAAATACAAAAAATTGGCTGGGTATGGTGGTGGGCACCTATAATCCCAGCTACTTGGGAGGCTGACGGAGGAGAATTGCTTGAACCCAGGAGTCAGAGGTTGCAGTGAGCTGAGATTGCGCCACTGCACTCCAGCCCAGGTGACAGTGTGAGACTCTGTCTCAAAAAAAAAGAAAAAAAAGATAAAAGAGAAGTTCCTTACATTCTAGGAATTCCAGTTTCTGCTTCCTCCTTATCTGATATTCCTCTGACACACTTACAATGGAAAGCCACATTTTTGCCTATGCCTGTGCTGTTCAGTACTATAGCCAATAGGAGTGTATGTCTATTTAAATAAAAATTTACATTAATTAACATAAAATGAAATTTAAAGTTCAGTTTTATAGTTTTGCCACATTCCAAGTTCTCACTAATCACAGGTGGCTAATGGCCACTGTGTTGGACAGCGAATTATAGAAAATCTCATCATCATAGGAAGTTTCTATGGGATTGTACCAGTCTAATTTGTATTTCTGTGGTTTTTACCCACTCAGATTTGTATCTAGTATTTTTTGCAGTTATGACTTGGGAGAAATCAGAAAATTAAAATAATGCTTTTAGAAGTTACATTATAGATTATCTAATACAATCTTTTAATTTATACTTAAATTTATTAGGTAACTGTAACTAATTAGTTGCTATCAAATTATCCATCTGCAAATGGGATCACAATAGTCCTTTCTCAGAGTGACATTGAAGTAGACTTCCAGCACATGCAGATGCCAGCTACTGAGTAAATAGCATCTCATGCCATTAAATGGTACGCTGACTTTGCCATGTTGCTGTGAACTCCCTGTCAAAATTCATTATGAATGTGTTAGGGAAACTGGCTTAAAACAGCTATATCAAAATAGCCATGAGTATAACTGAGTTCAAAGATGAATTAGACATTCTATTTTGTTATCTAGTTAACAGTAGGTTTCCTGAATAAGACGCTTTCTATTTCAGATGGTGGTATAATATGGCTAGTACTTTGGAAACTTTGAAGAGGCCTTAAGTGGTGCCATTTGCAGCCCTTCAGTTCTATTTGACACCTCCAAAGGAAATGGTAAACCCTGTTTCTCTCTGTCCATTTGGTTTGATATGACTGATGCTCTGGCCTTCTTCAAAAGAAAGAGTGTTTAGTTCAGTGCTACCTCCCTTTATGAAGCACCCTCTATATAGGATGGTGGATCCATTGCTCTGGGAGAATACTTTGAGACATGTGTGTTGTGCATGAAAGATATTGCATGAAACCTTTGTTTGATCACTGGTTTGGACTTGAGTTTCATTTTGGTGGATGTGTGATGTGAAGGGCTAGGGCAAATGCCTATAGGCAGGAGAAGAATAATAAATGTATTCTGATTATGAAATCACGTATTATGTACCTACTATACCCAAGCAGCTCATTTGCTTGCAGGAATCCTATGGGAAAATTATAATTTTCATCTTGAATGAGTGAAGAAACAGGCTCAGAGAGAGAAAGTGAATATTTCTGGTTGTACAAAAGGGATTCCGGATTCTTACCTGAGTTGTTTGGCTTCAGAGCCTACATTCTACTATATTAATCTGCTTTACTTGTAAGTAAAGTGCATTTAGATCTATTTTCTCATTTGATACTACATTCTGTGAGGTGGAATGGCAGGTATCAGTATCCCTGTTGCTTAGATAGATCCTCCATCCAAGTAGAGCAGTGACTTGCCCAAGGTCAAACAGGAAATCCGAGTGTCTGAGGCTCATATATATACTTAGTCTGACAGATAGGGAAACACCAAAATAAATAGGAAATATTGCTGAAAGCCGGTAGCATTCTGTCCCTAAAGCATGATTTGGAAGGCAGCAGAGACTCTTGTCAAGCCAGCGCCCTTTGTGTAGTGAAACATTTGTCCTGTATGTTTCAATGGGGTCTCAGGAGCTCCTCTGCTGTGTCATAGAATGGCATTTCATAGGACTTTCTGGAAAAGTAGAAGAGTGTTTAAACACCAAACAGCATCTGAGAGGGACTCCGAGACCAGTGATTAAAAACATATGCTGAGGCCTCTGGGAATGCTGATTTTAGGAATTCCGGGATGCAAAACGAGTGTAAAATGGTGGCACGAATCTTTGCTGGCCTGCCAAGAGGAAGTTACTTCTACTTAGCTGTGTAAACAACCATATTGGAAATGTCAAAAGAAATAAAATCCTTTTTCGGAGAGGGGCTATTAAAAAGACAGTACTAATAGTAAAATTAGAACTGCATTAGCTTTGTTGTACGAGTTCTGCGACAGCATCCTTTTTTGGCACCAGAGCAGTCTCTTATGCACACAGGGATAAAACAGTTGACAGGTTTATGATCTTCTCCCATAAAATGGTTATTGCCTCTTGATTCCTCTACCTATATATCACACAGTTCATAAATTGATTTACAAATCTCATAATATCAAATGTCTATTCTGATCAGCCTGTCAGCCTTTTTAATATTTATATAATTTTATTTAAAAGAGCTTGGTGAAGTTATTTCCTATTGTTGGAGGCTGGGGCAGTGAGTGACTCAGAGAAGTCTGTGAAAACTGACTGACAGATTTAGTGGCCACTGAGAAAAACAATGGGGTTATACCTGAGAGATGCACTGTGATGAAATGTAACATGGTCACTTCCTTGATCTTGACAGCTTTTGGGAAAGCTATCGACTGCTATGCCAAAAGCATGACTGTGGCGATGTTTGGATTGCAGGGGTGTCTGGGCTGGGAACTTGTACTCATCAAAAGCAAAAACAATTTTTAAAGGTTTTTAGTTATGTCAAGTCTCATGCAACTAGCTTGCTGTGTGTTGCACATCATGGGGCACAAAATCATGCAAGGCATATGTAGGAAGTCATGCCAGAGGAAGTACTCAGGGATGTTTGATTTAGATCATTTTGAAGCCAGAGATTTGGAATTCTGTTCCAGACATGTTTCTTGTAGATAACTGTGTAATGGGAGGGGCTGCATTACTGGTTTTGTTGTTGTTTTTGTTTTGTTTTTGAGATGGAGTCTTGCTCTGTTGCCCAGGCTGGAGTGAAATGGCACAATCTTGGCTCACTGCAACCTCCGCCTCCCAGGTTCAAGTGATTTTCCTGCCTCAGCTACCCAAGTAGCTGAGATTACAGGCGCACACCATTATGCCTGGCTAATTTTTGTATTTTTAGTAGAGATGGGGTTTCACTATGCTGGTCAGGCTGGTCTCGAACTCCTGACCTCAGGTGATCCACCTGCCTCGGCCTCCCAAAGTGCTGGGATTACAGGCATGAGCCACTGTGCCCAGCCTGCATTATTAGTTTGTTAGGGCAAATAGATGTCATCTGACAGGGATGCCTCAATATGCGATATTCAGTATCCTATCTGGTTATAGTAGCAGGAAATGCAGTTTTTCCTCTGAGAATTCTCTTCTCATAAGTAAAAGGATCTTAGGACCCTAACTTAGTTCAGATGGACAATCCGGTTTTAGTCTTTCTGACCACAGGGCTGTTCTCCACTGTGTATGCAACTTCTGCCTAGTGTTCCATGGAAAGGCTGACTCCTGCCTGGGCCAGTCCACAGGGGTTGAGGGAAGACTGACTTGTGGCATCATGTGAAAAGGATTAGAAGAAAAGTCTGTCCTGAGTACTACTTAGGTACAGGTGCCTAATGCCAGTGTTGACTCAGGAGAACAGTTTCTCTAGCCAGACTTTTCAATGAGCTCAACACATTGTCTGAGAGTTACAAGTACATATGTTGCTCAAATATGTGGTTTGGAGTTGGTCTGAGGTTAGCTTTTTGGCAAATCCAAAAACAATGTCTTGGCACAGATTTATTGTAAGCTAACAAGTCTCTTCAGATAAAAATATTTCCTGCTAATAGGGCTCAATCAGGGATACACTAGGTCTTCCCCCACATGTTTTGATGTTTGAATACCTTTGTATCTTAGAGGGAAGAGATCAATCTTGATACTACCTCTCAGAGAACCTTTCTGCTCTTATGCACATTTCAATCCCTTCTTGCAAACTTAAGGCTTTACATTTCAGTTAGTATCGGGGAAAGGTGAAATGCTATCCATCAACAGAGCTGCACTCCATCCTCCCTTTAAAAGAAAGGACAAAGGAGTCCTGCTTTGCTGGTCACTCACCTACATCTACTGTGTGCCCGAAGTTCTGTTAGGGCCCAGGGGTGGGCAAACTAAATACTGTTTTATTGGAACACAGCCATGCCTATTCCTTTATTATTGTATATAGCTCCTTTTACACCGCAGTGGCAAGAGATAAGTAGTTTTTCCGATGCCCGTGTGTGACCTGCAAAGCCTAAAATATTTACTATTTGGCCTTTTGCAGAAAAAAGTTTGGACCCTTGTGTTAGGGACTGGGCATTCAGAAATGAAAATATATTACTGTCCTCACGGAAGAGCCAGCATCCTAAGAGTTATAACTGAGTGAAGAAACCACATGATAGAACATGGAGGGTTACCTCTGCCTTGGGCCTGGCAAAGGTTCCCCAAGGAGGCCACATTTAACCTGGGTCTTTAAGTTAGACTCAGCTTTCAAGATGTGGAAAAATGTGAAGGCGTGCAAGAAGAGCATCCAGGCAGTGAGAATACTTTGTTCAATGGAAGGAATCTTATTGTTCTGGGGAAACTCAGGGTGGCTGGAATGTGAGTGTGGAGGGTGATGAAGCTGGAGGTGAGCTGCAGGTTTATCGGCACACATGGCTAGTACTAGCAGAGAGCTTTGTAAGCTGCACATGGGCTTTTGATGAGCTCTGGCACTTGGAGGAGACATTTCAGCAAAGTGACATTGTATCCATCCTTTAGAAAGATGGCAACTTCTGCTAGATTGCAAAGGAGCAAGGCTGAAGCCAGGGGAACATTAAAAGACCTACTTAGGCTGGGAGTTGTGGATCATGTCTATAATCCCAGCACTCTGGAAGGCCGAGGTGGATGAATCACTTGAGGTCAGGAGTTTGAGTCCAGCCTGGCCAACATGGTGAAACCCCATCTCTACTAAAAATACAAGAATAAGCCAGGCATGGTAGAGGGCACCTGTAATCCCAGCTACTCGGGAGGCTGAGGCAGGAGAATCGCTTGCAGTGGGAGGCAGAGTTTGCAGTGAGCCAAGATTGCACCATTGCACTCCAGCCTAGGTGACAAGAGTAACACTCTGTCTCAAAAAAAAAAAAAAAGAACTACTTAAAATGTATGCATTCTCTGTTGTTCAAAGGCAACTCAGTTGCTTCCTTCAAATAAGTTATCTATTACACTGATATTGTGACTTGGTTGTAAATACTTTAATGCCAGGTATGATGGTTAATTTTATGTGTCAACTTGACTGGGACTTGGGGTGCCCAGATTAAATATTATTTCTCAGTATGTTTGTGAAAGTGTTTTCAGGTGAGATTAGAATTTAACCAGTGGGCTGAGGAAAGCCAATGGCCCTCCTCAGTGTAGGTGGACATCATCCAATCCATTGAGGGCCTGAGTAGAGCAAAAATGTGGAGGAAGGGAGAATTTATCCTCTCTGCCTGACTACTTGAACTGAAACATCAATCTTCTTTAACTGGAATTTACATCATAAACTCTGGTTCTCAAAACTGTACTACTGGCTCCCTGGGTCTTCAGATAATGGAACTTCTCAGCCTCCATAATCATGAGAGCCAATTCCTTATAATAAATTACATATCTATGTGTCTCATTAGTTCTGTTTCTCTGGGGAACCCCAAACAATACACCCGATTTCTTTGCATTTAGTACAAGAGCCCTCAAAAGCACTATTCTAATGGGTCTTTCTATTGAATGAAGTCTCAGCAAAGAGACCTTCTCCATGCAGCTGTCTCCTTCTTTGCCAAGGCATATGGCATACATTTCTATTTTAAATTTATTTTATTTTGCTCTGATTATGATCACTTACAGCTTTGCTTACCACAATGCCAGGTGCATAGGAGGTACTCAGGTTTATGGTTGATGATTGGAAGAATGGCAGAGTGTAGCTAATCACTGCCTTAGTGGTCTGTAGAGCCAGACTGGGTAATAGGAGGCTTTGGAGACACTGGCAAATGTGCCTTCAATGGGTAGGAAATCTCATTG